GAGAGAGTAGAGAGAGCGAGAAGAGAGATGAAGAGAAAGCGAGAGAGAGGAAAAGCGAGAGAGAGAGAGCGATATGCTCGCTCTCTCTCTCTCCTATCTTCGCTCTCTCTCTCTCTCTCTCTCTCTCTCTCTCTTCTCTGTAGAGCGCTTCAACTCATCGATAATCCTCCCCTTTCACTTCTTTGAAACATGCGGGACGGGAATACATACAGTCTTTGACTCGTTCATATCATATATATAATCAAAGACTTACGTAATGGTTAAGGGCATTTTCGAGGAGCATTATCCCTATGGATAAGGCAGTAGCAATAGCCTCATTCCTCGGAGAAAAAAAAACAGGAGAATTGAGATGTATATGTGTTGATATTTCGGCAGCGTGCCTTTATCGAAACAATAGCAGAGGTGCACATCTGCTATTGTTTCTGAAGTCTGCCCGTTCCCCAACTCAGCCGCCACCGGAATCACGACATATCTATCAAGACGCATCACAACGCACCTGCAGGAGGGAGCACCAGACCAGCATATGCACAAAACCTACATCTAAAAACTCGTACGCCCTGATCTAACTGAAAGCGCATTGTTTCTAAAATCTTGTCCAAAAAACGCCATTCACAATCTCTTCGAGCCATATTAATTAGAGAAAGAACACTTGACTTGAATAAACAACTTAGGCCATGCATCACTTTGGACCTATTTAGCTACCCAATGTCAGCAGGGTGATTTAATATCTCGAGCTTTCCACAGTGGCAAACTGTCTGGACAAGCAGCCAACTTGATGGCCAGCACAGCAGTCATATAGCCAGTTAGCATTTATGTAATCAGTCAACGCTTCTACACAAGTGTGCATCATCACTAGAAAACGGTGTATAAAGCACAATACAATGAAGATGTATTTGAAAGAATTCGCCAGACATCGCTAGACATCGCCAGACATCGCCAGACATTGCCAGACATCGCAAGACACCACCAGACATCGCTAGACTCCGCCAGACATCGCCAGACATAGCCAGACATCGCCAGACATCGCCAGACATCGCCAGACATCGCCAGACATCGCCAGACTATGCAATCGCCAGACATTATAATGGTCACAGTTAACACAACTGAACATGACTCCTCTCCGCGCGAACAGGGCAACCTGAAAACCACAAAATATTGCGACGAAAATTATTCTAGAATCATAATGGAAAAGGCTACCTTGTAATTTGCAAAGGATATGGAGGATAAAAAGATATGGTATTTAAAGGCTGCTTCTTTTGGTAAATATTAAGTGATTTTAAAATCTAAGGCGAAAATATTAGGTATAAATAAATAAATAGGTATAAATAAATATATAGGTATACATACATATATATATATATATATATATATATATATATATATATATATATATATATATATATATATATATATATCCCGTAGCATGGATGTGCACGAAACACCAACCATGCAAGGCGACGCATGAGCTTCCGAAATGAAATGCCTACGTTTGCGCACTCTCTGGCCCTATTGAAAGCAGTCACCAATTCTTGGCCCTATCCCACTCTGCACAACGTCGCCTTTACGTGCGGTGCGTTTTCCCGCGCGAGGGTCGGAGATGGGTTAAAAACAGTTTTCAGCGTCGGTTTCCAGTGTGCGCTACTGCCTCACAGAGGCTGTTTTGTCAGGAACGCGTTGACTCATGCGCAGTGTATGACGTCACCGCTCTCACGGATGAGTGACTTATGCGCGGGGTATGGCGTCACCGCTGTCACGGATGAGCTCTATCTCGCATCCTGTGACTGGGCGGCGGCGGCTCGCTCCGGTCAGCGGTGGAGCACAACGGCACAGCAGACGGTCCCAGCCACGCCGGGTACGACTGGCCGACGTCCAGAGCTGCTGACCGGGCGGTGGATGTCAAGTGATTGCGCGTGGCCAGCAGGTGCACACCAAGATAGCCGAAGTCACCAGTCGGCTGACGTCCAGGAAATATCCTGGTCCAATGTCAGGGAGTTTCCTGGTCCGAAGACAAGAAGTCTGCTGGTCCAATGTCAGCAAGTTTCGTGGTCTGAAGTCAGGAAGTCTCCTGGCCCAGGGTCAGGAAGTCTCTTGGTCCGAAGTCAGGAAGTCTCCTAGTCCGAAGTCAGGGAGCCTCCTGGTCCGAAGTTGGTGAAGTCGGCTCTGATAGGCAGCACGTGACCGCGGCCGCCAGCGATGCTGGCAGCGGACGGAAGGGCTCGCTGGCTGGCCGCGTGGGCCCTGGCTCTGCTGTCCACGGTCGGCACGTGTAGGCTGACCCCGCTATGTCACGCGGCGTGCTGCATTTTTACACCAGACTGCAGGAACGCCGTATCTATGCTCTGCAACTGCTCCATAATCCTGCAGGTAAGCATGCGTTGTAAATGGGATATATTTCATCCCTTGGGATGACCAGATCGCACGGGTTCCGGTTCAAGCCCTGCTTGGACCATGACTATAAGCAGTCATATATCTTCAGTCGTTGGAGCCACGTCAAGTGTGCGGGACGCAAGTGTTACGGTCACATTTATAAACAAGAATCTTCATTCACATGTCGTGGCACCGTTCTCACGTAAACCCGCATCTTTCCATTGCGATCAAGACCCCAATTAGACATGCACACATGTAGATAGACGCCTATCTTCGCAGATAGTGTGCTAGACGACAGGTCTGGTTGAGCAAAAACAACAACAAAAAAACAAAACATAAATTAAATGTACCTCTGTGTTGCAGCCGATCTCATTCTGCAGTTCGGGGTCTAGACATGGTTCCAGCTTTAAGAGAAGAAGCTATGTGGAACTGTTGCCATCGCAGCAGGCTTCGCAAAATAGGCAGACATTGTCTTACGTAACGCGAAAATGGACAGATCGAAACGCTCTCCCCCGCCAAGTGGTGTCCTCTTAAAATGGGCCACGCAGACTTAACAACGCCCAAGGATGTGAGGCTGTAGACAGTTAATGATCGAGATATGGCTAAGAAATAGCTACATCGATCCAGGTCACCTGTAGCGATCAAAGTCAGATCAACGGAGTCTGCAAAGACTATAATTCGGGTAGCGTCGAAGCTAGAACCATAGAACAGAGTTATACGAAGTCACACACACTCTACATATTTAAGACCTTATGATTGAAAGTAAAGCTTATTACATTGACTTTGAAACGTAAAAGTAAAGCTTGTTACGTTGACTTCGAAACGTAAAGTCACTTCAAAGTCAAAGTCAAATGACTGTTTGGCGAGAGAACTTCTTTGATGAGGCTCATTGTGGCACCAGCACCGCTTTTCTCGATCATAAAGACGTTACCAGATTTCGCACGTCGAATTTGTGTGGGTTATGATAGGCCAGCGATGTAAAATAACCCTAAACGACCTTTGGCTTAAAGAACCTCCTGTCTGGAGGAAAAACTTGTCGCCGAGTTAGAATTAATTTAACAAATGGACTCGAAAAATTATGCTACTACTTCAACCTTCTTAACGCTAAATGAGGCTACTGACATAATATTCTCGATTGATTTTACCTAAAGGGCATTTAAATTTCAGTATGCTGCGCGATAATGCCAAATGACATTTTAAATGTTTCAAAGCAAAGTTTTGCCATAGAAGCCTACGCCTTTTGGAGCGATCGGTGCACATTTTGTCCATGTCAGTACACCTTGCATAATATTACGAGGTCAGAACTGAAATCAGGGACATGTGTTCACGCTGCTGGGGCAATTCACTTAGGTGCTTATTACGAGAAGCTTGACTAAAAACTGGCAATGCTGTTAGGCAAGCCCACCTCCAGAGTTAAAAAATCTATAACCATCACATTTTCTTACAGGGAGTGTGTCTAGTGTTTTCGACTTTCCAAATACAGCTTATGGGGAGTTTTGCAACTATCTATGGTCAATTTTGGTGCCTAAACATGCGTTTGGGTCCTGCAAAATCTTCTATTTGTTTATCATTATTGATCGCATTGATGCTTGTGCGTGAGCAAATACAATGCTAAAAAGATGAGCCAATCAGCGGGCAGAAAAGGACGAATGCACCGCCTTTATATGTGGTGAGTAGCCGCGCGCTAGTGACATGGCCGTTGTCTTGGTTGCTGCGGTCTCCTGCGTATAGAGAGAGCGCTGGCAGTGTAGGGCTGCACGCACTTGAAGATCCTCTGAGTAACTCGAGACGGAAAAATATGATAGCCTGAACATGCCTGGGGTACCAGCGACATTGCAACAACAAATTTCAGCGCATGTATCTTGCTTTTTCTGACGCTGAATTCGGCGCAAGTGCATTCGGAATTCGGTCATTAATTTTAGGGTAAAGGAATCTCAGCCGCCCATAGGCGCTGCCAAAACAACGTAGAACAATCAGATCTCCATAGAGCCTAGTGCAGCCGATTGACACGACACAATAGTTGTGCCTCATCTCAGTATAAAGCAGGTCAACATGAATTGATCGCAGTACGTATCAACTGACCAGACCATACGTCCAACCCCGTACACCCAAAATGAGCCCTAACTAGCATTAAAATTAGCCCTGGTTAGATTAGCTCGTATTGGGTGCAATTAAATACACCCGCAGCTCTTAGCTGAATGTAAGCAAAAGAGAAAAAGATCAACAATGGTTGCCAACATCGCTGCGTTCGCAAGCTGCTGTCAGCGCTGACGACCGACTTTCTCGGAAAGCTATTGGCTAGAGCTAGCGATACCTTGTCAGTGATGTCAATGTGTTGAGTGGTGAATATTGATTGGGGTCTACCCGATAACTTTGTTCCTTCACACAAACCCTAAAAATGGTATATGTGGCAATATATCGTCGTGGAGGCGAATTGGTAGAGGCCAATGACGTCCAAATTGCTAACTCAAAATCCCTACCATACCATGAGCAAAGTTAAAATCCCATCTTGAGTACACACTCCCTTTAAGGAACGTCCTACACATCTTGCTATATGCCACTGCTATGCTGTCTACCCCGGAGGCAATGTGGCGATTTACCAAGATGCATGTCAAAAGGGATGTCGGGAGGAGGGGGCGAGTTCGCGGAATATACGCATTAGCGCTTGCCTGAAACACAACCATCGCGAGAGATACGATGTCCGTTTCCTATTTTCACGAGTTGTCCTCCTTTCCTGAATGATCCCTGAATGGTGTGGCGATGATGAGCCATATCTATATTGTGATGGCTAATCATTTAATCAAACCTTTAATGAACACCAAACAGACACTCCGAAATGCGGTTCATGCAATCAGCAGCATTGCATCGGTTAGTGCAGTTAGCTGAGAATAAGGGTTATTTGATAGACGTTATCACGCCACTGCAACAATATGAATTGGATGGTTGATGAAAACACAACTCTGTATTTATGAAAGGTCATCATTGAGTCCGATCCTTTGCTTCAGGACCTAATGCCAATCCGGTCCTTCTTCAAGAGCCCTGATAGGCTCCAAGCTGCACATTTATTCAGGATGTCAGGCATGCAGCGATGACCACACATTTTGTCGAATATCGAAGACCTTTCGCTGTGTTGCATCAAATTGTAATAAATGTTGCAATGTTGTAAAGCCGCATGATTTGTAAAAATAGTTCACCACGCCCAAATGTGAAGGCCTACCTGGTTATCACTTGTGATAGGTGATAGACACTGTTGTCGTTTCAGATTACACGAGAGAGTATTCCGGCGTCTGTGCGGCATGTCAAGATATGGAACTCATCATACGTCAGCGTGGCTTCCGACGCGGTATATAACACACCGCTCCTGAGGACACTTGAGTTCATGAGCTTAGCAGAGTTGCACATACATTCCAATGGACTCAGATTGCAAAAGCACGCCGCCATGCGTGTTCTGCGAGTTGGATCCGTGAATACTCTCGTCATAAATAGCTCAGCTCTATCCGGCGATTGGCACCACGAAACAAGCGTCTCGCTACAGAGAATTGAAGAACTCCAGCTGCGTCCAGAAGCGTTCAACTTCACGTCGATCTCCGGTGGGCCGCGCGTACTGCTGGGCAACGTCCAGGCACTGATGACGGAGGAGGAATCGTTCGCAGCGGCGATTGGCCGCCTGTCCGTGGTGAATGTCGGTATGGAGTCATGTCCAAGCAGATGCTTTAGTGGCAGCATCTCCCACTTGGAGCTGATTGGCGTACATATCACAAATGCGAGGGCACACTGTGTGGATGGTCGGGACGGCTGGGGAACGCTGTCTATCCGCGCGTCTCAGCTTACCAGCATTCAATCGTTGGCCTTCCATGGAAACTTTCGAGAGGTGGTCATCGATAACGCTAAGGTCGGAGCCGTTCAGAAGTTCGGGCTCGATCTAAGACTTACGCGCCTGCTGGTGAAAGCCTCCAGCTTCCAGGACTTGGCCAGCAGGGGACTGGAAGTGGTAGCGAAAGATTCGATCGTGCTGGACAGAGTGTCGGTCAGCATCCTTCGGCGGCATGCTTTCCGAGGTCTGCACGTGTCACGGGCAGAAGTGAGCAGATACGTCACGGGGACGCTGATCGTCCGCAGCCTTCATATCGACAAAGCGAAAGACGGATCACTAGCCTTCGAGGAGGGCGTGCGGGTCTGCATCGACCGCCTTAACGTCAGCTTGTCCCTGGTGTGTCCGGCGGCGAAGTGGGCGCGTCAGCTGACAGGCGCGTCTGAGCCGCTCAGCCAAGCGCAGCGTCAGGTGCTCCGGCAGCTCCAGAGCAGATGCCCCCCCAGCGCCGAGGCGCCTCTCCCGGCCGCCAGCAGCGATTCTCCCTGCTCCGATGCCACCGGCAGGCCCGGACGAGAGGGCCACCAGCACCGGCTGGCGCTCTACTGCGGGCTCGGAGTCCTGGTGGTGCTGGCTGTGGCGGTGCTGTCGGTGACGCTGGCACTCTGGCAGCGGAGGGCCCGTGCTGCGCAGCTGCCGCCTGAGCTGCGTCTGTCGTCAGCAGAGCGCTGCTGGGGTCGGCGAATCGGCCGCGGGAGCGACAGACCGGAGGCGGCCGCTGGTGGCTCCAGGAGCCCAGCGATCGACGCCGCCGCCGACGCCGAGCTCAGAACGAGTCGTCTCCTCTCATCCACGGAGCGCGAGAGTGAGACCCCCCGCATGAGCGATGGGCGCCAGACGGGCCCCTCACAAATCACGTCAGATTCCATTAGAAACACGGCGTCGGACGACGGGATGTACGAGGTAGTGGGCGGGGTGCACTTCCCTCCGCCGCCTGCTGGGCCAGCGGCCAATGGGGCCGGGCGCTGGACCTCGTCGCCAGAAGATCCCGGAGCCGCACCGCCTCCGTCAACGGTCATCGAAGGGCTACTGCCTGGCATGGAGCTGGTTGACAACGAGCTGTACGTCACGACCGGGAAGGCAGCTCCTTAGGACTATCGTGGCCGCCCAACCGAGGCCAGCGGAAGCGGGAACTGGCCAGTGCGGACTGCCATGGAACGCGGGAACTGGCCAGTGCGGACTGTCATGGGACGCGAAAACTGTCCAGTCGGACTGTCAAGGGACAGGCGAACTGGCCAGTGTGGACTGTCAAGGGACAGGAGAACTGTCCAGTCGGACTGTCAAGGGACAGGAGAACTGTCCAGTCGGACTGTCAAGGGACAGGAGAACTGGCCAGTGTGGACTGTCAAGGGACAGGAGAACTGACCAGTGTGGACTGTCAAGGGACAGGAGAACTGTCCAGTCGGACTGTCAAGGGACAGGAGAACTGACCAGTGTGGACTGTCAAGGGACAGGAGAACTGGCCAGTGTGGACTGTCAAGGGACAGGAGAACTGGCCAGTGTGGACTGTCAAGGGACAGGAGAACTGGCCAGTGTGGACTGTCAAGAGACAAGAGAACTGGTCGGTGCGGACCGAAAAGAAACCTGAGCATTGGCCAATGCTCAATGAAACGGGACGTCAAAGCTGGCTGGGTGCAGACCGGCAAAGGATGAGAGAACTAAATTGCCTGGCAGCGGTCTCGGTAACTGCTCTGTACAGAATTACAAGATACGCGAAAGTTGGTCGGTGCAGACTGCCGAAGGAAGCGAAAAATGCTCCGTCGGGGCTGAGGAAGGCTTCGGAGACTCTGACCGGTCTAGTCTGATCTGATCTGATCTGATCTGATCTGATCTGATCTGATCTGATCGGTGCAAACTAAGCCTTGCCAGGTCGCATGGCCCGCGAACTCTGCCGGTGCCACCTGGCAAGGCTCGCGAAAACTGGCTTCTGCAGTACAGCATGGCGAATGTATCATATAGTAGCTTCATTGCGGTCGAACCTCGCAGCCTTTGACCGCCTGTGCGCTTTGCTGCTATCAGTGATGTTCTTGACGCGTTGTGGGTAGACGTTCATGGTCGATTACTCCTACCCATTCGCTCCGCATTATATTATAAACCAATACAATTATCAAATCGTCCAAGTATCGTGTAATCGTCCAAGTAAATGTACTCCAAGGTCATTTCGTGCCGATTGAGCACTCACTCCGTGTAACCTACGTGACGTGACCGTGACTCCGCGGGTGGGTGACGCGTTCGTGGAAGAGGAAGGCAGCACGAATCCCACGATGGCCTAACCGCGGCGCCCGGTGCGATGTAGCCGGTCAGTGCGAGGGTGGCACGGCACGTCACCAGCTGCAGCGGCCGTCACCAGCTGCAGCGGCCGTCACCAGCTGCAGCGGCACGTCACCAGCTGCAGCGGCCGTCACTAGCTGCAGCGGCACGTCACCAGCTGCAGCGGCCGTCACCAGCTGCAGCGGCACGTCACCAGCTGCAGCGGCCGTCACTAGCTGCAGCGGCACGTCACCAGCTGCAGCGGCACGTCACCAGCTGCAGCGGCCGTCACCAGCTGCAGCGGCCGTCACCAGCTGCAGCGGCACGTCACCAGCTGCAGCGGCACGTCACCAGCTGCAGCGGCCGTCGACCGTGACGGTGAGCCGAGCCAGGAGACAGCACCGAGTCACGCCTCGGCGCTCGGGGCCGGCTCTGCAGCAACTGGGCGACCGGCCGGCCGGGAAGCGACCGATAAGAACACGACATATTTGGCGGTGGCTGCAGACATCCAACCGCAGCCGGTCCGTTGGGCAGGCGCATGGATTGATCCATGCACTGCGGGTGCGGTCTCTGGTTTGGAATCGCTTTCTAGGTCTGCACATATTTCAAGGTGCGATCAATTCCACAAGCTCTCTTACTGTGCTTGCTCGGAGCAAGAGCATGAAGCCAGAATATGCAGGGATACAAGGTCTGCATCAAGGCTAAGTTCTGAACGATGTTGACGAAAAATTCAACTTCCCGTCAGCTTACTGCCTTGCCCAAAGGGAGAAGTCGAACAGAGGCTGGTGTGAAAATACGTCAGGCTTTTGCATCTGTCAATGTATGTGTGTGTGTGTGTGTGTGTGTGTGTGTGTGTGTGTGCGTGTGTGTGTGTGTGTGTGTGTGTGTGTGTGTGTGTGTGTGTGTGTGTGTGTGTGTGTGTGTGTGTGTGTGTGTGTGTGTGTGTGTGTGTGTGTGTGTGTGTGTGTGTGTGTGTGTGTGTGTGTGTGTTCATAATTGCACTGAAGGTGCGACTATGCGCATTTGATAGCACCCTGGGACTGGGAGTGATACGACAGGTAAAGTAGAACATGGTCAGCAACACCAACATTCACTGTTATCCATTGTTATAATTGATATTGGAAACGCCAGTATCCACTTATTTCCATCCATTGTTGTTTTTCCGCGAGGCCTAATATTTCTTAGTTTGGAAGTACCAGGGGGTCACATCGACCTCCCCTTCCACCCATCATCACGCGTTATGAAACACGGCGAATCAGGGAGCGAGCTGAGCGCTCTGCAGCCCAGCGCCAGCGCTTTCCAGCCATGTGTCCCCTGTACCAGACACACACCTGCTCCCACGCTGGACCCGCAGCCTCTCCTGTGCCGGGCTCCCGGCCGCTCCTGTGTGGAACATTCGACAGTCCCAGCGATCGGAAAAGTGACGCTCCAGTGATCGGCTCACCGTCGTCGCAATGAGGTACCGGCGTACCTCTGTTAACTTGCAGAACATAACAATGACACAGTACGGGCTAATGCTAGAAGTATTCGGTAACCTGCTCGTTTTTTGACGACTTCGTGATGTGTGGCCAGCAGGTTGTGGGTCAATAGCTGGAACATATGTGCGGTATATATATATATATATATATATATATATATATATATATATATATATATAGTTATATGCAAATCACATATTACTCTCCACGCATTCTGCAGTACAACGGCTACATCATCAGGCAAACGAACACGCACCCATTGAAAACTGTTGTGGTTTAAAGATATAGCCAAGCCCCCGCATTACTGCATTCTGAGAAGCGATGCTGTGACGTCATCATGCGACTTAATAATATGGCACCAATGCTAAGACCGCGTTAAAACACCGTTTTTTGCGGTTGGTTCAATCATGCGTATTTTCATTACCCACTTTTTCAGATCTAGCGCATTCAATGGAGCATTTTCAGCTGGAAAATGGCGCTAGCCTGCACCAGAGCTACAAAGTTATTGCTGAAATGCGCTACCGGCCTGCCCTCAGCAGATAGATGGGGTAACCCATTCACTCATTCACCAGCGGTGTATCCCAGGGAACTCTAGCCGGAAGGGCTTGCAAACGGTCTCTGTACAGGAGTGCAGTATACACAAACATTGGGTGAAGATAAGAAACGGCCGTCAAGACGGGCTCGCAGTGCCCTGGGACGCGCATCGAGAAGTTGGAATGCACATCCTGTAGCCTTAAAAGGGGCGTTGCCGGGATGTATGCAGGGTTGGCTTGTCATAATGGGGTCAGTGAGGGGTGAACTCCGGGAGGTGTAAATGCAGAGCACTCCATTTCAGTTCAAGATAGCGGCTTTTGCTGTAAAACGGGATTATTTCTGACAAGTTATGCAGTTTCTGCCAGTCAAAGAGAGGTGGCCCATATCTCAGCTGGGAAATAATCTTGGCGATATATAAGGACAGTCCCGGCATCATTCCCTGCATACATTTTTCACATAGCCCATTCGACATTATGAACCTGCAAGTTATCCAACGACTAATAAGGTTATAGCAAAGAAACAGTGAAATGTTTGGCAGTTGCCCTCCTCACATTACCTTGTTTTGACATTTCACTACAGTTAGGTACTGCAATACAGCGATAGATAAAACTTATTGCCCATTTATGACTTAGATGTAAACATTGCACATGACATCCATTTATTTCAGAATAAATATACATTTCTCAAAGAGGCACTGCATATAAATGTTCAGGCACGTTGACTACGTTGACGAATGTGGCGCGGGTACTGAACCTAAAAAACATGGTTTAGTGGAATCTATTTCTGGAAGCAGATCGTGGTACTGATTTGTCTTCAAAACGTTCTGAATGCAAAATGTTCGATATCTTTTCACGTGACATTGAAATAAATATTTGGAATAGGATGGCTATCCAGTTCATTGGCGAAATCTCCGTACGTAATTATGTTGCTAGTATCTACCAACATTCGCATAGTATCAGCCAAAACACATACTACGAGCTACCAAACTTTAGACCCATGGTGACGTCGCGTCTGCGCAGGCTTCTTTAGTAGCCTTGGATATGGCATTGTTTTAAAGCACGCTTGGGCAAGTTGGAAATACTTGACATGCACACGCGTTGACATGCGAACAACCCCCAATTCAACAAACACATATCATTTTATCACAACAACTTCTAATGGATTAGCTTCTGATTAATTATAAGTAAATGTTTAGTTAGAAATTATAAAGTCAGGCTATTTAGCGCTTGACGTTTCCTAAAAATGTGTGAGGACTCTTAGATTCTCAACTCAAGCGAGGAATATGTCATGCCCACGACATTACATTTGGAAGCCAAAACTGGGGTGTCACATATAAATGAACGTTCTCGTATGGGGGAGGGATCAGGTTTTGCAAGAAATTTTCCTGTTCGAATAGATTTACCTAAATGCTGTTAAACGCGGCTGTGCAAGTTCCGAACGTTGGAATGATGTATGATGCCCCACATGTATGATGCCCCGCGTGTATGATGCCCCACACGAGGCACAGGTAAGCTCACAACAGTCGACTGGCAGCACTAAGGTAGGCCAGCTTTATGTTTGAAGAAGGAAGTTACTAAGAAGGAATTTACCAGTATAATCCTAGGGTCTAAAAATTGATATAATTTTGATAGGAGGCTGCTTAAATCACATTTGAGGCTTTCAGAATCCGAGCCAAACTACGGTAGAACAAAACACTGTTCAAGCAACGGAACGTCAAGGGGTCTGTAGAATGAAAGATCCCTAGAATTGAGAAACATACGAGTCTATAAATGAACGTTCCTCCAGGGAAAACCGTTGGTCCCGAATTACCTTTTTAAATACTTAATTCCAGCACGGACGAATTGATAAGTTGAGCTTAGATTGCATGTCCTAAAGTTGCCCGCCGATATTGAACTAAGCTTGAGTGACTCCGGAATCAACTGATAAAACTTGTGCCCAGCCCCGTAAAAGCAGGTTTTTGGTACACCTAAGTGAATAAACGATCACCTTTTTGGATGAGGACGTCCAGTAAGGAAACTTTGCTGTCTTCTACTCTACTACTCTTCCAAGATAGATCCAATGCTTGGGTGCTTGCTAGTAGAAAAGGTGTGAAACAGCTAGAAACCTGTCCTTAAAAACAAGGTTGGTTGTATCATGCCGTCATATTTAGTCTCCTTTTGAAACTTGGCAAGACAACTTTATTTGACGTTCTTACCGGAAACCATGGCCATGCATCCCGCAAGATGGTATACGCTGCATCAGCTTCCACAAGAAGCTAGCAAAAGCTGAGCTATATATGAGTTCTTGAAAACATGCAAGTCCTACTCCATTTTCCCATTTTTTCGCTTCAACTTATGCAAGAAAACGTTGCGCTCGTCAAAACCTCACAAAGCACGCAATCTGAGCTCTTAGACTATGAACTCAACGAGAAGACTAAAATAACTGCATGCCTTACAGAGCAGTTCATTGAACTGTGTGACCGCCGTCAGCACACCTTCTGCCGTTTTTTAGTTTCATTTCTTCAAGTTTCATGATCAGGATGTCTTAAATGTCTTCACCCAAAAGTGCAAAAACACCCATCGTTAGAAGCTTAATCAGCTTGGTATTTACAATGCGTTCCTGCGTTGTCATCTTGATCGTGTCATTCACAACTCGTCGTCTAGAATTACTCCTTACCGTGCTAAAACGCCTTTAATTTTTGGACTTGATTTTAAGCTTCCGGTGTGGTGACTTGACTTATTTCGTTACTGCCTCACGTTTGAAAAACTTGTTTACGTTTTGTCTGACCTTTCTCTTTGCAATGGTGCACGCCTTTGACGGCGTCAAACATAGCCTTGTTTCCATTTTTCAAAGATATTTTA